ACTATACCACAATAAATGAAATATGTAAAAGATAATAGAAAATTATAAATATTGAATATAACAAGAATAAAAGAGGACTTTAAGTTAAAATACTATCTTTAATTATGAAAAGGAGTGGCTGTTTCATTATTCTCTCTCCGTTTTCTTCCAACGAATTCTTTCAAATTACTGTCTTCAAAGAAGTACAGTTACTTTTTTAAATAAAGGTCTCATAATTTTTGAACCCAATATATATTTACACGTTGAAAAATATGCAAACTGTACATCTCATCAGAAAACACATTTAAGTTTTCCTTTTACCTCTGAAAAATAAAGATTTTTAACTTATTAATCCACTTAAGCTCATCATCTAGAAGGCTAATCAAGGTAAGTGCTATTATAGCACTTCAATAATACAGATATTAAATGTTTTAGCCAATAACTAACCTTCTTCTTTAGCAGGCCATGTTTGAACACTGGTTTCTACAGCAGTGCCTGTAGTGTAGGCCTCAAGAAAGACATTTGCAACTGTCAGCAGAAATTCCACACTTGCACAAATATACATTTCTTGAAGGACTAAATCAGCCACCCAACCGTCTCTGACTCTCCTATAGCTTATATCCATCATGTCCTTTTTGTCAAACCCAACTGTTAGTCCTATCATTCTGAAAAACACAATAATAACAATTCCTATCAGTATCTTACAAATAATCAAACACACCAATAAAACTCAAAGACCTCTTATTCCTTTCACTGACAGCAAACCAGCATTCTGAAGTCATTTCTCTTAGTAAGATCACAAAGTACTCCAAGTAATAAACTTACAGACTTTGGGAGCTCAAATGTTTCATAAATTAGGAAGTATATTCTTAAGAAATTATCAGAATTTTGAATCTCAGCATATTTTTTCTCAATTTTTCATATATTTCCCCTTACAATTTGCATGGATTAATAATTTAGATAATACAGATTAATTTAAAAACCGATTTAATTACACTGATTATTTCTATATAACCCATCAATCAACCATTCAGCAAGAACAGCACATAACCAGGGCACTTCAAATGTTGGCTTAAAACTACGGACTCAACTGCATTGAAGCTCTGAAGATTTTAGTAAATACCCAGAAAATGAACATGCAACTTTGGGAGTAAGTTCTGTAAAATATACCAACCATTTCTCAAGCAAAAACTTAGAACACTATTACCTAGGAGTTGCTTTCTTGACATGAGGCCTTTTGTCATCTAAAATACAGTTTTTTAATGAGAAGGAAGAAAATGTTGAGTCATCTGTATACATTTTTAAAGTACTTATAATATTCTCCAACTTAAATTCAGCAAGTTTCAGAGAAGGATCACGAATATCTGTAAATGAAGTCTGTGGAAGAGGAAATCAATACAAATTTTACACAAAAACACAAATTTAAAACATATATTAAGACATGAAATACCACATTCTCTATCTCCAAAGAGCTCATAATGAAAGGCATGAAAAATATTAACTTTAAAATTTTATTTTTCATATCACTGGCTATAGGAAAGACAACTCATTTTAAAAGGCAAATAGTTAAAATTATTTTATTATTAAAGTGAAAAGATCAACAATTTTCCTCAGAGGAACAGATATTCCAAAATATAGGAAACAAGAGAAAATATATTTTTTCTTCTTCAGCTTACCTGCTTAGGACCTGGACTATACAGTACCATGGTGAGATAATCAGTTCTGAAACTCATATTTAGTGCTGTCTTAACTTGGGAAGCATGTGAATGTACTTCTACCACAGCAGCTGTCACTACAGTTGTTCCTTGGAAAAATTAAAGTTATTGGACAAAAGAAGAAAGTCAGGAATGGTAGAACTCATTAAAACAGACCTGAACTAGATTTAACATAATTATTAAATAAATGGGTATAGTATAATGTTTTTCCAAAAAATTTAAAAGATTTAAAAATTCTGATGTTGAACTCACTAACTCCTGGCTTAGGATTCTTTACATAATAACCTGAGAGTATTAATTAAACTCTTGGTTTACTTTTAATAAACTCTTGGTTTAATTTTTGTAAAACAAGAATAAAAGAACTAACCACTGGGTTTGTTTTGGAGATTAAGCAAAACAGCATGTGTAAAATGCATACTAGAGTACCTGGTATATGTGTTTGGTATTTAAATTTTACTTCAAAATCTAAAACCAAACAAGATACTTTAGATGACATTTAAAAAATTGTTCCACTAAACAAAAGGATCCAAAATGCAATCTTTTCTACATTTTATATTTTGGGACAAGGTATTATATATACATGGTACATATTAAATGGACATATAATAAAAACATAGCAATTCCTAATTCTCATTCTACTAGACCCCAGAGACAAGGACCACCATTCCAGGTAACTTATTTTTTAATTTAGGTAAAATTTACATCCGTGAAATGTATAGATCTTATCTGAAACATTTAATGAGATTTGATAAATATATACATCCATGTAACCAACACTCCAGTTAAGATACTGAACATTCACATCACTCCACAAAGTTCCCTTACACCCCTTTCCCAGTCTATCCCAATCTCCCTACCATTCTAATTTCAATCACCTTAGATTAGTTTTGTGGGTTCTTAAACTCTGTATAAATGCAGTAAGATATATCATACTCTTTCATGTTTAGTTTCTTTCAGTTAATATTTCTGAGATTCACCCATGTTACTGTATGTGTCAGTAGCTCATTCTTTATGTACTCTGAAAATACACTGCATGAAAATAAAGTTTATCCATCCTAGTGCTGATGAACATATGGGTTATTTCCGGATTTAAGCTATTATGAATAAATCTGTTGTAAATATTCCTAAATAAGTCATTTTGTGTATATATGCACTTATTTTGGGGTGCGGTGGGAGTAAATACTTAGGCTTATAATTGTTTGTTATAGGGCAGGTATACATTAACTGCCTTTGTCAAAAGTAGTTATACTATTTCACTTTCCTAAGAGCCACATGTGAGAGTTTCAGCTGTTTCACATTCTCATCAACATTTGGTGTTGTCAGTCTTTTAAACTTTAGTCCGGTAAACGGAAATCTTCCTGATAAATAATTATGTTAGCACCTTATCATGTGCTTGCCGTCCATTTAATCTACTATCCTTTCTAGAGTATCCAAATCTTTTGGTCATTTGTTTTTTAAAAAGTTACTAATTTCAAGGAGTTCTGTATTCTAGATGTAAGAACAAGGTCAGATAAAGGCATCTTGAATATTTCGTCTAGTCTGAAGCCCAATCTTTCACAATCTTGATACTATCCTTTTTCCCCCTTTTTTAAAATTAATATTTTTTTTGGCTGCATTGGGTCTTCCTTGCTGTGGCAGGCTTTCTCTAGCTGTGGTGAGTGGGAGCTCCTCTTCACTGTGGTGCACGGGCTTCTCATTGTGGTGGCTTCTCTTGTTGCGGATCGCAGGCTCTAGGGGCATGGCCTTCATTAGTTGAGGCGCGTGGGCTCAGTAGTTACGGCTCGCGGGCTCTAGAGTGTGGGCTCAGTAGTTGTGGTGCATGGGCTTGGCTGCTCTGCAACATGTGGGATCTTCCTGGACCAGGGCTTGAACCCATGTCACTGGCATTGGCAGGCAGATTTGTAACCACTGTGCCACCAGGGAAGTCCCTGACACTATCTTTTGATGAGCAGAAGTTTAACATTTTGACGAGGTCTACTTTACAAAGTTTTTCTTTCATGGTTAGTGCTTTTTTATCTATCCAAGAAATCTTTGGCTATCCCATGAAGATATTCTTTCATGTTCCTTCTTCTAGAAGTTTAAAAGTTTTAGCTTTCAAATATATGCCTTTTATCCATCTCAAATTAATTTGTGTATGGTGTGAAGGGACAAGTTCAATTTTTCCTACATTTACCTAGTTATGACAGCACCATTTGTTTAAAAGTTTATCTTTTCCCTGACCAGTCTTTGTTTAGTATCAGTTTACTTGTATGTCTCCTGGACATTCTGTTCTGTTTTACAAATCTATTTGTCTATGTTATGGCAATAACATACTAACTTAGTTATTGAAGATTTATTGTAAATTGTGAAATTAGATAGTGTAAATCTTTGCTCTTCTTTCATACACATACACACACACACACACGGCTATTCTTGATCGTTAGCTATACAGCTATATAAGCTTTTAAAGTAATTTTTAAATTTCTATTTAAGTTTGACTGGGATTATGTTGAATATATAAATCAATATGGTGAGAACTGACATGTAAACAATATGGATATTTTAACAATACTGAGATTTTTCAATGCACAAACATGGCATACATTTTCATATATTAGGTCATTTAGTTTTTCTCATGAGTATTTGGTATCTTTCAGTGTAGCAGTCTTGCATAATTTTGTTAAATTTATTCCTAAGTATGTTTTCTGATGCTATTGCAAATAGTTTTTAAAGTCCTATTTCTCAATTGTTACAGATTAACCCTGTATCTTGTTAAAAATGCTAAATTGATTTAATTCTAGGAATTTGTTGAAGACTTCTTAGGGTTTTCTGTGTAGTCAATCATGTTGAGAAAAAAGGCATTTTTAATTCTTTCTACTCTGTAGACCTATTAATCTTTCTCTTGGGGACTTCCCTGGCAGTCCAGTGGTTAAGACTCTGAGCTTCCACTGCAAGAGGCGTGGCTTTGATCACTGGTTGGGGAACTAAGATCCCACATGCCACGTGGTGTGGCTGAGAAGATATTAAAAAAAAAAAATCCTTCCTTTGGCTGTATTGCTCTGTCAATGACTACCAGCTAAACAGGAATGGTGAATGTGGACATTCTTGCCTTGTTCCTATTTTAGGTGGAAAACTTTCTACTTCATTATTAAGTATGCCTTTTTAGACATTTCTAGTTTTTATCACAAATAGGTGCTGAATTTTATCAAATGTTCTTCCTGCATCTATTGAGGTGATATAACTTTTTCTCCTTTCTCTGTTAATTTGGTGAGTTACCTTAATTGATTTTTGAGTGTTAAACCAACTTTTCATTTTGGGATAATTCTCAGTTGGCCAAGATGAAATATCCTATATCCTTATTGCTGGATTCAGTATACTAATATGTTGTTAAGAATTTTTATGCCTGTGTTCATGAGGGATACTGGTGTGCAATATTCTTTTCTTGAAGTGGCTTTTTCTGTTTTGTTTTTGATTTGTTTTTGGTACCAGGGTAATGCTTGCTTTATAAAATGTCTAAGGAAGTGTTCCCCCCTCCTCTATTTTCCAAAGAGTTTAACACTGGTATTGTTTCTTATTTAAATATTTAATAGAATTCACCATTGAAATTCAATTCTTTTAATAGATACAGAGCTACTCAGATTTTCTATTTCATCCTATGTCAGTTTTGGTAATTCTTTTTTTCCAAAAAATTTTTACACTTCATATAAGCTCTAGAATTTATTATCACAAAATTATTCATAATATTCCCTTATTGTCCTGAGTGAACTACTGTAATCTAATTAATTCTGATATTGATAATTTGTTTTCTATCAGTCTTGCTAAGGATTTATCAATTTCATTAGTCTTTCCAATGAAAACAATTTTGGACTTTGGTAATTTTCTCTCCTGCTTATCTGTTTCTCTTTCACTGATTTCTACTGTTGTCTATATTACTCTCTTCCTTTTATTTATTTTGGGTTTGATCTGCTCTTCTTCTAGTTTCTTGAGGTAGAAGATTTTATCTTTTATTTTTAACTCCAGTATAGCCCTTTATAGCTACAAATTTTTCAGCACTGCTTTAGTTGCCATCCCACAAATTTTGACATTTTATGTTCATTATTTTTCAGTTTAAATAATTTTGATTTCCCTTGTTTTTCTTTTGTAACCCATCAGTTATTCAGAAATTGTTTAATGTCCAAGTATTTCAAGCTTTTTTGACATCCAATTGCTATTGATTTCTAACTTAATTCCATGTGGTCAGAAAATTTTAGCCCCTCCCTCCCTCCAATGGTCTATCTTTGTGAATATTCCAGGAGTCCTTTAAAAAAAGTATATTCTGCAATTGTTGAGTGAAGTATTATATTAATGTCAATTAGGTCAAGTTTTTTTTAACAGTATTCAAATATTCTATATTCTTTCTGATTTTTTAGTCTATATTCTATCAACTAAGAGTGCTGTGTGCTAACTATCCAACTATGATTTTGTATATGTGTATATCCTCCTTTATTTCTGTCACTTTTTGCTGCATATATTTTGAAGCTCTGTTATTAGCACATACACATTTAGATTTCTTTGTGAATTGATTCCTTAAACTTTATTTAAAAAAAACAAAAAAAAATTGTACGTGTCTTTTTGAATTATGGTTTTCTCTGGGTATATGCCCAGTAGTGGGATTGCTGGGTCATATGGTAATTCTATTTTTAGTTATTTGAGGAACCGCCATACTGTTCTCCTTAGTGGCTGTATCAATTTACATTCCCACCAACAGTGCAGGTGGGTTCCCTTTTCTCCACACCCTCTCCAGCATTTATTGTTTGTAGATTTTTTTGATGATGCCCATTCTAACTGGTGTGAGGTAATACCTCACTGCAGTTTTGATTTGCATTTCTCTAATAATTAGTGAAGTTGAGCATCTCTCCATGTACAGGCACCCCAAGGTTCACTGTAGCACTATTTACAATAGCCAGGTCATGGAAGCAACCTAAATGTCCATCGACAGATGAATGGATAAAGAAGATGTGGTACATATATACAATGGAATACTACTCAGCCATAAAAAGGAACGGAACTGGGTCATTTATAGAGACGTGGATGGACCAAGAGACTGTCATACAGAGTGAAGTAAGTCAGAAAGAGGAAAACAAATATCGTATATTAACACATATATCTGGAAACTAGGAAAATGGTATAGATGAACCGGTTTGCAAGGCAGAAATAGAGACCCAGATGTAGAGAACAAACGTATGAACACCAAGGGGGGAAGTGGGGGGTGGGATGAATTGGGAGACTGGGATTGACATATATACACTAATATGTATAAAATAAATAACTAATGAGAACCTGATAGACCTTCTTGACTCAGAGTTGCTACACACTTTCAATTTGTAAAAAAGGCAGTATCTGAAAAGCACAATAAAAAGTGAAGCACAATAAAACGAGGTATACCTGTAATTTCTTTAGTAATGGGTATAAAGAAACTAAACTTTGAGTCACTGTAAATCTAAAAATTATTGTGTTCACATTTAGATGATGGTTTGGCCATATATAGAATCCTAACTTCAAAATAACTTTCCTTAGAAATTTGGCTATATTACTCTATTGTCTTTCATCCTCCATCCATCCCATCCCATCCAGTTTCATTCATGATAAATCTGATTCCAGTCACTTTTTCCCCAAGCCCTAACAGGCAGCCTGGTTTTTCTTCAACTAAAAATATTACTTTTGTTGTTCTGACATTTCGTGAACATGTGTTTGCGTGGGGAGTCTTCAATCCACTTGAAACTTGGTAGATTCTTTACATCCAAGATTTTGTTTCAATATTTACTTAGTTCTGGAGAGTTTTCTTCTATTATTTCTTTGAAAGATTCTTCTCTTCCATTTCCTCAGTTCTTTCTCCTAAAATACTTATTATTCTGGAAATTGGACGTTTTGAACTAAAGCTCTATCACTCTTAAGTTTTATATCACTTTCCATCTCTGTGCTTATTTTTCCTCTGTGTCATAGGGGATTACATTAACCATACAGTCCAACTCAGTACTTACATGCTAACCCCATGCTTTGTGCATTTGTTTTCTTTCAAAATTTCGGCAATCATATTTTTGGTTTCCAAGAACTCTTTCTTATCTTGGAAAGGTAGAAGGTAGTGAAGGTAGGATCCGGTTCTTATCTTCTCAAAACCCTCTGATTATGAATTAGAGTTTGTTTTCTGTTTTTTCACATTCTCTTTTGTTTTCCTTAATTATTTCTGTTTCATTCAGGAGACACTATCTCTTTATCTTGGTTGCTTTCAGGCTTAGGTTCTTGTGATTTTCTTTATATCTGACCATTAATATTTAACAATAAAGGACTAGGCTGGTTATTCTAGCTAGTAAGAATGAGGATTCCAGTAATGTTACAAATGTAGGTTGTTTCTTTGCTGGGATTCTCCCTGACTGGAAAAGCTGTGCAATATATTAGTGCTTTGCAAGAGTGGGTCTTGTGAACTAGCAGATTTCACTTTGAGGTAGGCAGATTTGGGGTTCCCCAAAATGCCAGAATGAAGAGAATTTTATTCTAGTGAAGCAAAATCATCTCAGCAGTTCTAATTAACCCAATTCTCTATATGTGCTGGTGCTGAACTTAGCACCTAGTTAGGATTCTACATAATAAATTAAATCCAACATTGGATACAGACTTCTTCTGAGTTACAATTCCCTCTGCTCTATTCCACCCATCTTCTAATTATTTGTTGAAATCCATCATTTACTAATGATCATCCTCTCTTGACATCTCTAATATTTTGATACTCCTAATATTAATATAAAATATTCCATCAGGAACATATGCTGCACTAGGAATAAGGGAGAAGGAGGGGATGAAGAGAAAAATTGAAAATAAGGACTTACAGGGAAGTTGGGATAACAAGAATAAATACATACTAAGGAATTTTGTCACAACAAGAAATTGAAATTTTGATTCAAAGAAAAAAATCAACAGAATGACTAATAACAGACAAATCAGAAATACCTGAATGAGATTAGCTAAAGAGCAAAGATTTATAAATCTTATTTTACCCAAACCTAGAACTAGGAAGAATGAAAGGAAGGATAGAAGGAAAGAAGAAAAGAGGGGGACTAATTTAAGGTTAAGCACATACCTCCTGAATGGTGTGAAGCATTAGTAGCACCACTAGTAACACTAGACTGATCTTTTATTACTCCACATGAGGCACTATCACTTTCTTCATACCATATGTTGCCATATAATGTTTTAAAAATAGTTGTTATATCTTCTTGACTAAGAATTAACTGTTAAAAAATAAGATTTGCTTATTTTAACATTACTATTTCATGCAGTCAAAAATTTTCATACAAGAAAAACAATTTTCATTTCAATCCTCTACAAAACCAACTTTTAACATATCAGATAATTCTACTAACTGAATATTCCATTTTTGAAATGACCATGTGATCTTCAGTACCTTGTGAAATACAGAACTAAATTAAATGTCAGCATCAATGAAGCTATGAATGATGAACGTTTTTTGTTATGAATGTAGCAATTAACCTACTAATTTTAAACAGTTAAAATGAACTTTCATTTCCAAGTATTCATGTAGCACCTTTGTATTTTTTTGGTTAGTAAGCATCTCAATTTACAAATATAATCAAAAATAATAAATTTATACAATTGAAAATATTTTACAGTATATTTTACATGAATTATTTTAGCTGACCCTCACAAAAGTCCTAGGTTAAAGAGTATAATCCTTATTTTATATGAAGGTGAGGCTTAAATGATTAAGTATCATGCTTAAGTCCACTTGAAGAATCCAACACACTAACTCAAAACTCCATGTGTTGCAAATTTAGCCTAAAACCACTAGCATAAGACGTGTCTTGAAAGCTGTGATGGTTAATTTTATGTCAACCTGACTAGGTCGTAGTATGTAGAGATTTAGTTTAGATGTTATTATTCTAGATGTTATGTATGTGTGTGTGTGTGTGTGTGTGTGTGTGTGTGTATAAATATATGTATATATTATATAATATATATATAAAGAAAAATACACACACACACACACACACACACACACACACACACACACACACACACGGTCCTGCAGACCACCTACAAATGCCCAGCTGCCTTCTGGGGCAGATCCACTAGAATGAAATTGAGTCTTCCCCTATCAAGAGACACCCGAGGAGTTAGCAGCTGTTGCAGCCCACCTTAGGGGACCGCATATGTGGCTGCCCCTGGATCTCAACTTCAGAGTCAGGGAGAGGTTAAAACTGAGCCTTCAAGAAGTCAGTCTAATGCATCCAGACCAAGAGTACACACACACATACACACACATACACACACACACACACACACACACACACACATCCTATTGGTTCTATTTCTCTGAAGAACTCTAATACAACAGCAATTCAGTTAAAAAAAAAAAAAAGACCTGTGAGTTTTAAATTGATATGTCTAGTAACCTCAAAGGGATAGCTTTAATTCCACAAAATTTAAGTTTTATTTGCATCGGGCTTCCTTTGACTGCATTTCAAAAGTGATAAACTAATCTAGTGTTTTAAGATTAACTCCATGTGTACCTTATTCCTGCTACTTATGTTTTGTTTTTAAATTTTCATTTATTCATGACACTTATTTTGTGATTATTATGTAGCAGGTATTGCAAAAATAGTATATTCATATAAATTAATAAAATATTACAACTTCTAAACCACAGTCTTTCAATTAGTGCATGTTTATTGCACTAATTGAATAACTGATATTAATCATTACTCTTCACTCTTGCCAACAGCTCAGTGCAGGAAGCTGGAAGAACTGTAAGGATTCAAGGAATACTGGTCTGTGGCTCCTACATTTCAGGACTGGCTGTGTATGCTACCACCGAACATCTGACAAGTCAAAAATCACAAACTGCAGCACTTAGCCTGGATGCATTAGAGTAACCGATTCTAGCCTCTTTGTGATGCAGAGGATGATGTCCAAGAGGGTTCCAATGTGTGAACCTGGGGGTGAGCCACAACAGCTGCTATCTATTCAGATAGATCACTGCAGGGGAAGACCCAATTTTATCTGTCCTGGAAGGCAGCTGGGCATTTGCAGGTCTGCAACATCATCTGAAAATTCTGCATGGATTTTCCCTGGAGAATAGTGAAGGAAAATGGTGTCCCAGCCGCCCCACACAAATCTGCCTAATGACTGGGCCCAGTGGGGAGAAGATTTGCCCAGTATGCTAGGTAGAACTTGCTACTTATGTTTTATAAGTTTCTAACTGTTGTCTTACCAATACAAAGAGACTTCAATTATTTATCTTAAGAAGATATGACCCATCTATAATTTAAGGAGTCCATGTGATCTTATACACAGAGTTTGAAGATCTTGAGTTGAGATCATCATGCTTCGGTTTTTTTTACATCTTTATTGGAATATAATTGCTTTACAATGGTGTGTTAGAGATCATCATGTTTTAAGTTTTAAATACATTTTAAGTTACAAATCTGAAATTTTTTAAATGATGATTTTCTCTTTTTGAATATAATTTTTATGGGGAGAAATAGAAAGGGAAACAGGAGGGTGAAGGGAGGGAAGAGAATCTGTTAAGTAGGTTTCTTAAAGAAATCTTTCACAAAGAATGTGTGTTGCTGTCACTTTAGCAAAACATGTGATACAGTTTTGACTTCCATCCAGTCGCGAGGTAAAAATACGAACTTGTGGAGAGTTACACTGGAGATCCGTGACGCGATATCAACCAATAGGGAAGTAAAGTTACGTCTAAATTACTAACCATTTGCCATTTTCATCTTCAACCACTCGATTCTTCTAGGCCCTTTGCTACGTTACTTCATATATTCCCATAGCTTCAAATACCATCTATAATCTGATGATTTCCAAATCATTATTTCCAGCCTTAGACCTCTCCACTAACATCTTTATTAAAATATCTAACTGACTACTTACAGCACCATGTCTAATATTTGTTTCCTTCATGAGATTTACCATAATTTATAACTATTTTAATTGTGTGCCTGTGTACTTTTTTACTGTCTATCTCACCTCTGGACCACCACCACCACCAACCCCTGCGTTATACTGGTAAATTCCATGAAACCAGAGATAATGTCACAACTTCTTTGCCACAGGATCTCCAATATCTGGCACAGGGTCTAACACTCAGTAGGCACTCAAGTATTTGTTGAATAAATGAATGACCAACATTCAATGCACTCTAGGTTGTATGCTATTATTTCATTTGTGACCAAGGTAATTAATATATAACTTCTACACACAAAATGACTTATGTCCCCAAGCAATATTTTTTAACAAACAAAACAGGAATCAATAAGCATCCAAAAGTTACCTCCATGGGCTTTAGTTGAGCATTTACATTAAAACAAGGAACTTCCTGGTACCACTCCCAGGATAAATTTCGCTCAACAATCACCTCAAGATTTAGTGGCAATAGTAGATCCAGTACTTCCTGGTATGCATCATTAATAAATTGAGACCTATAAGTAAAAATAAAATTGTTTTGAATAGTTTCATACAAAATCAGATAGTTAAAAAATTAATCATTTAATATACAAATAATAGAAATCAATAATTTTGTGTGTGTGAAGAGAAAAATAAAATTGAACAGGCTTTCCATGTAAAATGAGAGATGAAAGTCACCCACTTAGAAAGTCACCCACTAGAAACCTACAAGAAACCTGGGTGACTTCCTCTGAGGTGAAGTGTTCCATGTTGAAGAAAAATGAATTTTTTAAATAGGATTTTGCAATATGTTAAAAAGCGCCCAAAATATACAAGTTGAACCGGTTTGCAGTGCAGAAGTTGAGACACAGAAGTAGAGAACAAACGTATGGACACCAAGGGGGGAAAGTGGCAGGGAGGGGTGGTGGGATGGTGTGATGAATTGGGGGATTGGGATTGACATAGATACACTAATATGTATAAAATGGATAACTAATAAGAACCTGCTGTATAAAAAATAAAATAAAATTCAAAAATAAAATAATATATACAAGTTGGACAATAAACTCTTAAAACGAGAATTATCTCTACATCATCTATAAACATACATTACAAGAGACATTATGAAAACATTTAGGGGCTTCCCTGGTGGCGCAGTGGTTAAGAATCTGCCTGCCAATGCAGGAGACATGGGTTCGAGCCCTGATCCAGGAAGATCCCACATGCCACGGAGCAACTAAGCCTGTGCTCTATAACTACTGAGCCTGCACTCTAGACCCTGCGAGCCACTACTGAGGCTGCGTGCCACAACTACTGAAGCCCGCGTGCCTAGAGCCCATGCTCTGCAACAAGAGAAGCCACTGCAACGAGAAGCCACCGCAACGAGAAGCCCGCGCACTGCAACGAACAGCAGCCCCCGCAACTAAAGAAAAGCCCGTGTACAGCAACGAAGACCCAACGCAGTCAAAACTACATAAGTTAATTTTAAAAAAACAATGAAAACATTTAAATTCACTGATTTACACATGTTAGATTACCACATATCCCCTTACTTCATAAGAAACCAATTTGCACCATATGAAATTCCTATTTCTATGGATCAAATATACTTGAATATGGACAATTTCATATTAAGTTGAACCATATTTGCCTTTCCAAGTACTTATAAGGGTAGGACTGATGCTCAGGAATGATGAAGAGAGTAGTAGGTTACCAAACCCCTTTCAAGTGACATGTGACCAAAGAAGCCTCCCATTATACCTTCAAATGACAATCTCAAGGTGGTACTCCTCAATAATACATTTATATTTTAATTGGCAGAAAATCCCAAATCCTTCAACTAGGGAATGAAGCTATGACTGTAGAATTTACATATCACTTATTCAAATGGAGAGAAATATGGGAGTCACCAGGGATCTCCCAGAATTCCTAGCATCATACCATTGAATGTACTAACTATAGGGTAACATTATACTTAGCATGTATGCATCCTTGCAATCTCCCTTAATGTTACTAAGTTAAGGAATCTAGAAGCTCTAAGCGGATACTACACATACAATTTTAACAAGTGAATATGAAAATATATAGCTATGCCATAAGTCATTAAGTCAACCTTATATTGTTAAAAAGTTATGCTGTTTCCAATTCATCACTGTAATAAATACTACTTGGTTCATTATCTTTGTACATGTCTTTGAGTAAATTTCTTCTTCTGGACTAATTTCAAGAAATATTAACTGTTGTGTCAAAAGATTACTTCCTCTGGAAAAACCTTTCCTTACCAGTACTAGTCTTCCAGGGAATTAAAATTTTTTCCATTAGGAGAATTTTGTAAAGACTGAAAGAAATGGAAATCCAAAGGTGCAATGTCTGGTGAATACGGCGGATGAATCAGAACTTCCCAGGCAAGCCGTTAACAGTTCTTGCCTGGTCATCAAAGAAACATGCGGTCTTGTGTTATTCTGATGGAAGATTATGCATTTTCTGTTGACTAATTCTGGACACTTTCCTTAGGGTGCTGCTTTCAGTTGGTCTAATTGGGAGCAGGGCTTGTTGGAATTAATTGTCTGGTTTTCGGGAAGGAGCTCATAATAGAGAACTCCCTTCCAATCCCACCATGTACACGACATCACCTTCTCTGGGTGAAGACGGGCCTTTGGTGTGGTTGGTTGTGGTTCATTTCTCTTGCCCCATGATCTCTTCCGTTCCACACTGTTGTATAGTATCCACTTTTCATTGTCTGTCACAATTTGTTTTTAAAACAGAACGTTTTTATTACGTTACAGTAGAGAATCACATGTGGAAATATGGCCAAGAAGGTTTTTTTTTTATGTGGAACCCAAACATCAAAGTGATTCACATAACCAAGCTGGTGCAAATGATTTTCAACGCTTGATATGGATTTTTTGAGTATGCTGGCTGTCTCCTGCGTGGTATAACATTGACTGTTCTCAATTATTGTTTCCATTTGATCGCTATGAACTTCAGCTGGTCTACCCAACCATGGAGCATCCTCTAGTGAAAAATCTCCAGCACGAAACTTCACAAACCACTTTTGATCCATTCGATCAGTCACAGCACCTTCTCCATACACTGCACAAATCTTTTTCTGTGTTTCAGCTGCGTTTTTAACCTTTCTCGAAATAATAAAGCATAATATGCCAAAAATGTTGCTTTCTTTCTTCCATCTTCAGTATTAAAATGGCTACACAAAAATTCACCAACTTTGATAAGTCTTTTTTTAAATGCACACTGATATGAGAGCTGTCACATACAATCTGACGAAACTGTTTCGAATGAAGTTAAAGACAACTAAGTGCTACTAGAGCCATCTTACGGAAAAAACTGGATGAACCTTTTGGCCCATCCAGTACATTTAATAGGTCATTGTCTTGTCTGTAGTTTCAATTAGAATGAAAGATTCATGAGGGTAAGGACTATATTTATGTTATTCTTTGATGTACTGCCAGTACTTGGCTCAGATGATTACAATATGACATGTACTCAATTATTTGCCAAGCTAAATACAAGAAATTGGATCAATACATAAATAACAACATATGAGAGTATCCATCTCCCTGCACCCAGAGTGAGAATTACTTATTAAGATTTTCCAAATTTAATATGCAAACATTTCACTGTATTAATTTTCATTCCCTTGAATATTAATGAGGTTGAACATTTCTATTAGCTATACACCAGCTATCACTGTTCCTATAAAGAATCACCTAGTCATGTTCTTTACCAATTTTTCAAATTATCTTTTACTTACCGTCTTAAAATATTTAAGGATTTTTATCCTTTATTACAGATGTTGCTAATTACCCCATATGCTATGTTTCCCAGAATTTTGTTTTGGTAATTAATATTCAGAAACTTATACTTTTATACAAAGCCAATTGATATTTTTCCCTTATCACTATTCTTCTTTCTTCAGTGCTTAAATTAGCAAGTTCTTCTCTACCATATGACTGGTACTTATGTGTTATTTATCCATAGTTGTTTTTTTTTTTTTTTTTTTGCGGTATGCGGGCCTCTCACTGTTGCGGCCTCTCCGGTTGCGGAGCACAGGCTCCGCAACAGACGTGCAGGCTCACAGGTCCAGCCGCTCCATGGCACATGGGATCCTCCCAGAACGGGGCACGAACCCGCGTCCCCTGCAGCAGCAGGTGGACTCTCAACCACGGCGCCACCAGGGAAGCCCCTGTCCATAGCTTTTTAAAGAGCATTACTGAGATAATTCATATAATATACAATTCACTCACCTTTAGCTTTTTTATGCTTATAAATGGCATTATGCTCTGGGGCCATTTTAAACAGCAAAATCACCAAGGAAAAGCCCCTAAATGCAAAAAACATGGCACACAAAAAGGACACTGTTTACAGCATGAGAGTTCAAATAAGAAGGCAGGGCGTCACCTTGTTTAACACCTCAGCTGGGAACAAAGGCCTTGGGAGACCTAAATTTCTTGCAGCTCTGTGCATGTCCACAAATGACTGTAAAAGTGCCATGAATATTGATTTTGTGGTTACAAATAAGTTTTAGCAAGCAGAAATATTCACAAATATGGAATCCGTGAATAACGGGGATTGACTGTAATATATATGAATAATGATGATGCACACACACGTACACACACAGTCAGCTGCTGAGTTTTCTACTGTTTCACTAACTTATTTTAGTTTTGTAATATATTTTAGTAGTACCTCTAATGTTATGATTCTCCCATGCCCAATCTCAATTAAAAAATATACATATTTTCTACATCTTGCCCCCAATTTATATTTCTAGAAAAACTTTACAATAATTTTGAAAGGCTTTAAAAAGAACAGCTGTTGTGATTTTTTATTAACAGTGCATTAAATGTATAAATTAATTTATAAGAAACTGACACCTTTATAATATTAGATATAGGAAAATATTCTCTGAAAAATTATTCAAGATTTCTTTCTGGCCCTTGGTTAAGTTTTACAACTTTCCTTATAGAAGTATCATAAACATCTTTTTAAAATTTTATATTGCAGTTAACATCTTTGCGATAAAATTATTTCAGGGAAAATTGGTTTACTCTATAAATGAGTAATTATGTTTCTAGGAATTCATCTGAAGGAAATGAATTATCTTAAAGAAATGAGTAGAAAATCGTACAAGTATTGAGAAACAAAGATATCAATCATCATTATACTGCTATTTAAAACAACAATAAAACACTTAAATTTTTAACAGGCAGATGGATTTTTTTAAAAACTATGTATTAAAATATTTAGAAAAATTATGCACTCAAAATAATATGGAAAAATGTTTATAGCACATTTTTAAGAGAAAAGAGGAAATTACAATCCGAAATATACAACAGAATTCTTATTTCACTTAAATATATGTGCAGATATAATAAAATAGAAAAAAATTCCAAATTATTAACAGTAGTTTTCTTTGGGTGGTCATATCACCAGCAATCTTTTACATTCATCCCCAATACCATTTTATGTATTTCTTCAATAAAAAAATTCTTTTTTGGACAGAAAAGAATACATA